AGGGAGGGGGGGGGGGGGGGGGGGGGGAGGAAATCAAAGTGGACACAAAGCCAGATCACATGAAACCAAACCAAAACAGTAATTGGCACAAGCCTACTGGAGACTAATTACCACCCAGGCGCTCCTTATGAACCGGGCTTCAAGCTAAAACCATCCTACTGAGTCCAGCACTTAGAATTCATGCAAGAATAAGTTAGAATAATTGAGGTACCTATTCTTTTGGGCTGGTGGGTTCATTTGAAATTTTGAAAATGTTTTGGGTGTATTCTCAAAATGGCTGCCACTGAAGGATTTTCCCATTCTTAACACACTTCTAAATTGGCCATAGCTTGACTCAAAAGATCAGTTTTCTAGAAATCAAATATATAAGGCTTTTAAAAAGCAACTTGCCCAAGAACTAAGACAAGAAAGAAATTGTCACTCTTCTGAGTCCTATTTTCTGCTCCACCTTTTATTTTAAAAATACAGCAGAGACCCAATGGTTAAAAAAACACAAACAAACTTGTCCAAAAATCTGGCAGAGTTAAAGGTATTCAAAGTGTGATGGTATGTGGGAATGACCTTGGGAGTAAGGAGGAAGACCCTCAGCCTAGGTAATCCTTTCCATCCAATAAGCTGGTGGCAAGAGAAGATTTTTAAAAAGCTATTAACAAATGTACTAGGAAGCCTCAAAAGCTTTCTGTTCTCCATAATACCAAATCTGAACTGGTGCAGTAGGCACTGTGAAGGTGGCATTTTAGTAAGCCCTTCGAACGTACCATCCCAGCAAAATTGCAGCTAACAGCTCTTCTGCAATAATAATGATCATGGTAGCATAATATTATAAGGGGCTACATTAAGCACTAACTAGAGTTGGGAGATAAAGGTCATGGTGGGCAGTACCTCCAACAGGAAAGCACATATCCATAATTAAAGGATGAACTTGTCAACTTGCAGGATTCTTAAGTAAGGCAGGAATCAAATGGGTTTTCTGAAATGTCACAGAAATTGAGCTTTTAGATATTTGGGTCAATCTTGTTCACAGGTATTGTTCAGTTGATAGGGTCATATGCTACCCGATAGGGAGAGAACAATCATCATATGGAAAATATTCACAAATTGGCCAGGAGAAAGTTTTTACCTCAGTAGTTAAAAATTATGATCATCATCTTTCTGCATTCTAATCTTGTGAAAGTTCACTCTACCTCCTTATCATCAAACAAGCCTGGTTTACATTGCATTTTTAATGTAATCACAAATCTTTCTTCAACAGCTCTGTAAATGTGTATATACCAAAATGCTTGGTAAGTGGAGAGATTAAACTGAAAGATATAATGTATTCCATGGGCCTGGTTGATGTATTCACTGACAAAGCAGATCTGTCTGGAATCACAGGACAGCCCCAGCACAGGCTCTCAGAGGTAAGATAGATGTTTTCTCCTTTTCTGTAGGAAGAGGAAGATACACCTGCTTCAAAATTTAGCATACAGTATGTGAATACCTACACTGCTAGTTTATATCAATTGAAACATGAGAATTGCTCCAAATATTCTTAGGAATTATACTTGGGTAAAGGTGAACAGTATTTCCTGTTAAGAACTATAATCTGTGTTTATCTGAATAAGTCTAGAAAGAAGTCTCTGTTCATGATACACAGAAATTTTATTACAATGTATTTCCAAATGTGTAAGTATAGCACATTGGTGTTTTATTATGTTTAATGCATTTTAAAGGGCATATATTTTGAGTGTAGAAAAATGATGCATAAATCTTTCAGGAGATGCATAAATAATAAGAGACAATTATAGTTTGGACTCTATGTTCCACAGGCCCTAACTTCTTCTCATGATGTATACCTACCCTCTGCTTTACTTTTCCTTTGAAACCCCATGTCTTCTGAATATCTTCTCTGAAAGACTGAAGACAATTCAACATAGGTGGGCTGTGGAAGAAAACAAGAAATTGGGTGGATGGGGAGATGGTTTGTTACTGCAAATGGAAAAGGTTTTTCTTAGATCTTCCCCATTCATTGTAAGCCACCGCCCCTTTCTCTGAAACATTTTGCTTTTTTAAGAATTGCTTTAGAATTCTGGGGATATTAGTCTAAAATAGATCATATTCATCCATAAATGAAATCGTATGATCCTCCCCCACATCTTTTTTTTTCCTTGTAGGCCATTCATAAGGCTGTGATAATGATTGATGAGAGAGGAACAGAAGCTTCAGCTGCTACTTCCATGGACCTGGTGCCCATGTCTATGCCTACTATCATGAAATATGATAGACCATTCATATTTATAATTCAAGAACAAAAGACTCAGAGTATACTATTCATGGCAAACATTTTAAATCCTACTGAGAAATAGGCCAACATGCCTGTGACTATTAACTGCATGTATTAAATAAACATATTGGTTTGATCAATACTGACTGTTCAATTTTCTTATCGTCACCCTAATTAAACTCCAGTCTTAGATTTGTGGGGAGATGAAAAAGTCTTTCTGTACAGGTATGATTGTTGTATTAGATACCTCTCACAATAACTTCCCAGACATTGTTATTTTGCTTCATTTTAGTATTATATGGATTTAAGTCTTAGTATTAGTGACCCAGGCAATCACTGGAGTGTTCAACAAGGGAAAACAGCAGGATGGGGCCAAGGTTGAGGACAATTTTTTGGGAGGAGTCACTCACAGGGCTTTCCTTGGGTACAACTGAATATAGAAGACCAAAGAGGCTGAATATGGAAGACCAAAGAGATTTCTCAATCTTGACAACTTCAAGATGTGTGGACTTCAACTCCCAGAATTCCCCAGCCAGCATGCTGGCTGGGGAATTCTGGGAGTTGAAGTCCA